AAAAAAACAAAAAACTCCCTTCTGGCGGGTCAGTATTTCTTTACGAGCTATGAACCAAAACTATTGCTACCACATATAACTCTATCTACAGTAATTATCATAAGGCCTGATAATGCCCTGTAGACGAAAGTTCTGGATAACTGTCAGAATCGAGATATTTAGGACCTCACCAAAACCCAGAAGTTGTTCAGACTTCACTGGACAGATGTCAGTCTTGATACAGAAATTCCAGTTTAATCTGTGAAGAGATTTGAATGTATCTGAGACTATTTAAATGGGATATCGAGATGAGATTTATTTTTATGCACAGCATGCTTGGCTCCACGCCGACGCATCTTGCCCTCCAGATTCTTGGGCCTGTCCTTAGGGGTTCAGGGACCGCCCGACTCTAACGGCCGCGCCGCCTGCTTCCCGGGACACTTGGGCTCCACGGCCGCTTCCCGGGGGCGTCCCCGACCGCCGCAGCCCTCAGGGCTCCGGGAGCTCCGCAAGGGACGCGGCGTCCCCGCCGCCGAGCGCGCCCCCAGTCCTGCGCCCCCAAGCGGCCCCGAGGCCGGGAGCCGAGCTGCGCCCCGAGGCCCGGCCGGGGGCGCACGGCGCCCCCCGAAGTGCGGGCTTCCCCCACCCCCGGCTGCGACCCCACCTCCCGCCCCCGCTGCGTGAGCGCGTGTGTCCGTCTGTCTTTCTCTCTCGACGTCAGTGGGAATTTCCAGCCAGGAAGTGAGAGAGTGAGCGAGAGAGAAAGAGAGAGAAGTGCACCAGCGAGCCGGGGCAGGAAGAGGAGGTTTCGCCACCGGAGCGGCCCGGCGACGCGCTGACAGCTTCCCCTGCCCTTCCCGTCGGTCGGGCCTCTCGCCGCCGCCGCCCTCGGCCTGCGCCCCGCGCCGGCCCGGCTCCCGGAGCTCCGCGCAGCCCAGGCCGGAGCCGCCGCGGCCGGGAAGGCGGCGCCGCCGCGGCCCGGCCACCGCGCGCCCTGCGCTTCCCTCCGCCCGTGCTGCGGACATGGCGCGGCGCTGACTGGCCCGGCCCGGCGAGACCGCGCGCCCGCCCGCCCGGACCTGACCCGCCCCGCGGCCGGACCCGCTCCGGCCCGGCCAGTCGCTGCCCCTTCCCTCGCCAGCGCGCAGGCCGCGCCGCCCGGGACAGGAGCCCACAGGCGCAGGGAGGCCGAGCGCGGACTCGCCACCAGGGTAAGCCAGCCCGGTCAAGGGGGCCACGCCGGGGACGTGGGGCCCGAGTCCCGCCACCTACCCGCCCTGCACCCCTCCAGCCCTGCTCAGACTTCCTCATTCCTGCGCTAACCGCTGGGCTAGCCGGACGGAGGAGGCTGACAGTAGTTGAAAGGCACATGGATTTGGCGAGAGTGGGGCGAAGGCACATCTGGACTTCGCAAGCGGGTTGGCCCGAGGGCCCCAAGTGCTCTGGCAGCCCTCCCTCTCCTTGCGGGACCCGGAACCAGAGGGGAACTCTTGGAAACTTTTTTATCCCCACCCCACCCCCTGCTGGGGGAGAGCTTGGGGGCTGAGGTGCGCTTCGGCGCGGGGGACAGAGGGGAAGGTGGTTGGTGCAGTGCTGAACCAGATTTCGCCCAAGGGCGTTCCATGAAATGAAAGCAGAAGTGCATGTCAGTCCAACCGACTGGGAAAGCCCTCCCCAGCTCCCCCAGATAGAATAGGACAGCCAGCCTTATCCTTCACCTCCTGCTTCAAAAAGCCCCCACTCCTGCTCGCTCTCTCCCCGCACCCTCTCTTTATAAGGAGGGCCTGGTACTGATCCTACAGGGCCTGGTATTTGAGAGAGAAAAGAAATTACCTACTTTGAGCACTTTTTAGGTACTCTGATTATGTGAAATCCTTGGACAACAAAACCATGTATGTTGCATGACCTCTAAAACAAAAGTAATGATATAAAGAAAGCCTATCCTAAACACAAGTTTTCTTACGATCTTTAATAGATACTGATGGAGATGTTTGTCCTGAAGTATTGGTCTATCCTGAAACTTAAGTGGGACTTAATGATACAGTATTTCATTATCAAGTTTTAAGATGTTTTCATAGACTTTGTTAAGTAGGGTTTTCAGCATTGCAGATCAAATAACTATATTTAACCTTAAAAAATTGCTATAAAGCCTATAATCTGAGAAAATGACTATAGTAGTACCAACGCATGAGCTCTTCGTGCAAATGTTCTACAAACTGATGATCTTTGGTAAACGCTAAAGCTTAGGATCAATCAGTGGTCAGTGCTTATTTTTCTAACAAAATACCTCAGTCGAATAGTCTTGAATAGTTTAAATTGCATAGTGTTTGTTAAAAATTGAAAAGGGAATCTTGATTAAAGCCCTTAGCTCAAGTGTGTTGTTTTCCTGATTTTACTATTGTGCTTTCTAGAGATGAATCCTTTTACTGTTTAATGCACTAGAGAAATTGTGTAAATAATTTGAAGCAAGATTTATTTTTGAGCCCATGAACTTGGGATGAGAGAAAATAAAAAGAGATTCGTTTCTTGTAGCGTTTTATATTTATCATGTAATTAAATTGCTAAGGTGCGAAAAACATTCAATAAATTAACACGTGAATATCTCCTGAAATCATTAATCTATATTGATGTACCTGCAACTCCTCAATGCCCTCTGGAGCTTGTTTAGATAAAATGTCTTCCTGGGCCACAGCCTATTGGACAAATGTGAACACAAAGGAAGACTCATTGTGTGTACATTTAATGCTGGCAGTGAAATACTTCTTGCTATAAACAATAAACCACTTCAAAATTGTTTGAAAGACTCTTCAAAGAAAACACTGTAATTCAATTAGGGGTTAGTGGCGATTTGAAAATCTATTATCTTATTTTCAAATTTCAGTTTTATGTTATGGTCTTCATTTGGCATTCACATGGGCTGAATAAATGCCCCTGTTTTTCAAACCCAGTTAGTAAATACTGGAGTATACATACAAAAATAGTTGTTCCCCTTTGTAATCACGACTTTGATCTTTGCACTTCCTTCTTTTTTCTACCTCTTAAACAAGATCATCTGTGAAGACTGAATCACAGCTGGTAAGAGCTCAACGTGAAACAGGCAGAATTTTAGATTTAGTCATCAAATGCCTCACATTTCTCTTGTCATGTTCCTTGGAACAAGTGAAGCTAGATTGAGAAACTAGTATTTATGCAGATTGTTTTTACTACTGCTTTCAGACTTACAGATAATTGATGAAGTTACTATCTTGACTTTAAGGGATTGCTCATTGTGGTAGATAGAAGGTCCAGATAAGGAATTGTCAGCTACAGGACCCTGGATTATCATTCAGTCAGCAAGACCTTATTTTTCACCTGATTTATGAGAGGTATTCCCCCATTTAGAATAGGTGAAAGATCTGGCTTCTGGGGGGAAGTAGTTACTTCATAACCTTCAATTAGTTTAGACTTGGGAGAAGTAAGAACAGTAGTTGACATTTTAAAACAATACATTTTTTAAAAATCTGAGTTTCCATATGGATTTTTTATAAAGTAGTCAAAATGCCATCTTTTTAATTTTCAGAATGTAGTAGTTGTGCTGTTCTGAGCATAGAAACGACTGCAGTAGAAAGTGTATCTGTCATTGCAGAAGTTTTTAACCAATGGAGTAAATAGATTATGCTCTTCTAATCTACAGATTGAACAGGAATCACATTAGCAGAAGTAGAATATAAGAATCCATTACTATGCAAAATTTCTCTTTAATCCACCTTATTTTTAGTATGTTTTTTTGTTTGGTTGGTTTTGTTTATAATAAGAGCTATATACAGCGGTGTGGCTGTTACGTAAGAAGAGGAGAAGGGAGAATAGGATTTTAGTGCCGAAGAACACTTTTGAATGTTCTCCTCTTCATATACGTTTATATGTCTGATCAGAGTTAATTGACAGCTGCTGCTTGGTGACCAGGAAATGACGCAGAAACAATAGCTTGCTTTCTGGGAATTAATTCTCATTTGCACTCTTGCATCTTCCATAAATACTGAATTCACCCCTAGTGTTCTTAGAGGTGAGCAAATAAATCACCAGACACACACACACACACACTCACTCACTCACTCACTCACTCACTCACTCACTCACTCACTCACTCACTCTTTAGGAGACCTTGAGGGTTTTAAAGAACCAGAGATATTCTGCCTCAGAGAGGAATGTTTTGACTTCAGTTTGCCTCGTTGACTGTGTGTCATCTTTTCTTAAATCAAAAAAGATTAATATTTGAAACCAGATAATTTGGTAGAGTTAATAGGGTAACATAATCAAGACACCTGTCTTTGTAGTATTTCATTAATGAATATCCAATACTTCCCTGTTAGATTAGAAACAAAAAAGTAACATTCTTTTCATGATGATGAAATTGCTGCATACCTTTGGGCCCTGCTGAATTAGAGAGGGTGATCCTGACCGCAAATTAACATGCTTTCATATTTTCAGGCAAAATTGGTAGACCTATCCTTGAAGAACAGCTAAGAGTTTAGAAAAAAAATGATGAAATAAAAATCTACTGCTTCATTGTAAATAATTTAAAGCCTAACAGTTTTACATGAAAGCAATAAAGGTATGACTTATTAAAGACTAAAGAATTCTCAAAATTTTAGTGTGGATAAAAATATTGAGAGTATTAATCATAAAAGCATCATTGTATTTTAAGTTTTAAAAAGCAGTCAATTATTACTCTCTCCTTGTATTTTCTGTAGTAAGTAGTTTATTATGTAGTAAGACTTAATTATTGGTAGTACAATTTCATCTGCTTTGAATTTGTTGCCTGTTTTTGAAATCAGTAATGAAATGAATGGTTTAATTCCCCATTACAAATTGGCTTACAATTTTGCATTTACATTTCACAATTAAGCCAAAATCTTATAACCAGCTTTTATTCTGACCTGTACTTTCAACAGATAGTAATAAACTTATTTATAGACTCAATTTCTTTAAAATGTAAAAAAATTCTGATTAATGGAAGTTAAAAGAATGTAAAGATTGTGACTTATTCTTTAAGAACCTATTTATAAAAATTATAAAAAGAGTAGAAGAGCTATAGTTCCCCTAAAAAGAAACCAAATCTAATCTCTACGAACAAAGAAATATCTGATGCTTAACATTGTGCTTGATGGTGTATAGTAAGCAATCAGTAACTATTTGTTGAATGAAGGAATGATGTAAGCTTTGTTTTGTTTGAAAAAAGGGCAGTCATTTTAAGTAAGGAACAAAAAATACACTATTTTGCCTTGCCTTCTGGGAAGAAAATGAAGGCAAAAACTAGTTTTTGCTTCCTAGATATTATATTCTCACCTAAAGAACTCCTGAAGTTTACTAGAACAAGTAGTTTTGTTAAAAAGTACCCAGTGCTTTCCAAAAGAGAAGAATTTCAGTCTGAAAGAGAAGTTTATGAACTGGAAAAAATAATGGCCTCTATATTCAAAGTTTCAGAGGCATTTATCAAGCAAGGTAATAAAGTAATTCAAGTGATAAAAGGTTCTCATACAGGTGAAAATGTAATTTTTTGGCTACACTAGAATTTCTCAGAGCTGCATTGAAATTGTCATTTCAATACCAATAGCTCCAGAAAGGAAATAATGCTACAAGCACTGCTTTGTAATCCAGATTGTTAAAATTTATCTAAGTTAATCAAAAAGTAAAAACGAAACATGACATCCAGAATTAAATGTTTATCACCTATAAAAAATTGGGGTAGGGGGAGTTACTAGCTAGAAAACCTCAGGAACAAGCAGTTAGCAAGGTATACTGTACTCTCCCCTTTCATATTGTAATTATTTTTTAACAACATAAAACCTGAAGCTTCATCATAGCAAGGTTTTGTGATTATTTCTCAGTTGTAGCATTTTCAAAAAATTGTCCTTGAAACTAAATATAACCATTTATTCTATGCAGACACAATGTATGAAGTGAAATATACCATCTAGACTAGAAAAGAGCACAGTATCAGCCGTCTTGGTCCTGGAGTCATGCCCCCAGGGAGAGTCAGGGCCGTTTCTCTGACTTCAGTCCACTGTACTTTGCTGCCCACTTAATTCTGATTCTGACCATCCACTCTTTCCAAATCACTTACAAATGTACATTCAAATTTGAAAAATTCATTTTAGAAACTTAACAAGTACATATATGTATAATCATTTTTGTTGTTGCCAACAAATGAAGGAAAAAACTAAATGTTTAC